TTTTTAAGAAAAAAAAAAAAAAAAAAAAACATGCAAATGTGCGTCTCACAACTCCTTTATATTAGAATTAAGTATATCTTACGTCAGTAAAGTTTTCTAGAGGGGGAGTGTGTGGGGAGCTTATATATATATGCGTATAGGTTTGTAACATCAGCAGCTCCCCCCCACGTCGCTTCGCTAGTGGCACACGCAATGTATGGCCCTGCGTGGTCAGAGTGAGCCAGACTTCTCTAGCCGCTCGAAGAGTGCGGAACTGTAACTAAGATACTTTGAATAAACTTGATCTCACACATCTTACATCAAGCCTCAGTTACTGCATCCAATACCTTGACAAATTCCCAAAGCCTTTCTTACTCATACGCCATCTGACGAGTGCGATCGGTAATGCTGTAAAACTGCAACCCGTTGGAGGTGTTACGAAGTACCACCTGTCTAAACTTACACATTACACCGTGGCTGTAAATGTACGCAAAAACGAGCAGTTCATTTGGCTATTCATTAAATCATGTTCATGTCAACAACAAAGACACAGCATGTCAAAAGTATGCAAATATCTCTAAGTGTCGGTTGACACAACTCAAGAGATTGGTGCATTTGAAGAAATTATTATCAAATTAGTTAAAAATTAACGAAATATACAGACGAAAATGAGTCAAAATCCCCCTTGCTCTAATATTTGTGATGTTGAAGACTATGTTGTGAATGAAGAGAATGAAGACCTTTTGGATGATGATTTCGATGAGCACGATGAAAGTGATGAAGGTCTGTTCGTTCTTTACACAAGATGTTCATGGAAAGTCAGAAATAATAATGTTCAAAATATTTTTATAACTTATAGATACTGAGGAAGCAAGTGAAACTGATATTCCAAAAGCCGAAGAACCAACTGAGTTAAAGGAACAGTAAGTTCAATTTGTATCTTGATGTTAACACCAATAAATGTATCCAATGTATAAATTTTTCAGGGTCTATCAAGATAAACTAGCTAGTCTTAAAAAACAGCTGCAACAGTTAAAAGATGGTACCCATTTAGAATATAATCGCAGAGTGAAGCGACTAGAAATACAGTACAAAGAGCGAATCCGATTAAACATAATTTACAGGGATTACTTATCTGATGGCATTGATAGAGAGTATATTTTGGATAAAAAAACAGCTGGTAAAGAATTTCAAGAAAAAAAATCGGATTTGAAAGAAAATTTACTAGCTGATATGGAAGAAAAACGTAAGTCAATTGAATGTGATAGATGTGCAATGGAACTAACAGGGGATGCAGCTGAGGTTAGTATGAAATGGTATAAATTATTAACATATAATTAAACCGTTATAGTATTAGTAACATTTCAATTTTTAATAATTAGATAAAACCTGTTATGACAAGAAAGTTGCGTAGAAGGCCCAATGATCCTCTGCCTGAAAAAGTGGAAAAACGAAGAAAACCTGCTCCAGCTCAAGTAAATTATTTACTTGATGAAAAAGAAATTGAAAGTGATCTGAAGGCTATTAGCAGAGGAAAAGTACTTTTAGCAGTTCGCAAGCCAGGTATGAGGTATCAGTTGATCCTGTGACTATTGGCTCAAAATCTATGTAAATAAGTGGATGAAGAGAGCTTATATCCACATAAACATAGATATAAGGTTTTTAAATTCACGGCAATATTAGTGATACTATCCCCATTCAACTTCAGGTGATATCTGTAATGTATAATATCAATGTATTTACATGGATTTGGTGCAAATAGACTCAGTGATTTTTTAAACTTCTTACTTTGAATCCATATCAATTAAAAAACGTTTTTTGAATTATGTTAGTTGTGCAACATTATAATTGCAGTAGTACATTAAGTCATTACACTTCCATTGCAAATGATTTGCCTTTGGTTGAAACAAGAATTGAAGATGGTAAACTTCTGTATGAACGTAGATGGTAATTTTATTGAATATTATGTTAACATATTAAGAATAACTTTGTATGTACAGTAATTCAATAACTTAAAAAATTAAAGGTTTCATAGAGGGCAATCAGTCTATGTTGAAGGAAAAGATCTAGGCAGATGTTCTGGAAATATATCAGCAATAGGAACTGAAGCTGTAAGTCCTTTAACTTGTTTTTTTTCTAAGCATTTGAAAGTTAATGTCACTCTAACCTTACAACTCTTCAAAAGACCCAAAAGTGATTGTGGTTAAGATTATAAGTTTTTATGTATATTTCAATGGCTTTCAGATCGTTTAAAGCTCTTCAAACAGATTTAATCATATATTTTCTTGGAAAATTTAACATTTTTTACATCAACTGCATATATTTCAGATTTGGATAAAGAAAGTGACAGATAATAATAAATTCCGGATATACATAAATCAATTAGCTAAAGGAAAAGTTTCCATCAAGCGCAGAGCATCTTGAAAAGGTTTATACACGACTCTATGGTCGACATCATTTATAAAAAAAAAATTTTAAAAAGTGTCATAACGTTTCTGTGTGTGTGTATATGTACATATGCTCGTGTAAAATAATAACTTTAAAAAATTAAGGCTGGTCTTCCTAAAACACTTGTGAAGCTGGCACCTGTGAGTATTACATGTTGTTATTTTGCAACTATTCAGGGTTTAAAAAATTTCTCCATGCAATATTATCCTTCACTTGAATTTTTATTTTCCGATCCAGACCTTGCAAGGTGTTTCTTCGATGGTTATTTTCCAAATAAATCATAATCGCGATATGCTCCTATCCCAAAAGTTGTGCTACTCTCGATATAAACAATATAGTAAAAAATGTACCGTTTTGAGCACAATTTTTGTCCATTTAGGCCAAATATCTCGGAAAACATCACATCTACGTGATAAAAGATCATAGAACCAAATTGTTAGTGAGAAAACTTTCTTTTAGATAAAGATTTTAAATGCTAAAAAAAAAAAAATTTCATAGCCAAAAATTCGAAATTCGAAAAAAAAAAAAAAAAAAAAAAAAAAAGTGCAATGTGGAAACACTGGAACAACAAAATTAAAGGCAACATTACATCCGTTTGCAAATGCTGTTAGGAAAAACTTTAAGTTATAATAAATATAATAGTGAACCAACTCGGTATCTTCTTCGGTTTTTGCACAATAATTTTGCAACTTAGCTATCTCCGACTAATATAGAAATTTTGAAACTATTGCTGAAAGTTAAATAACAAATTCTGTAAATCGCTAATTTTTTGACGTATATAAGGTCAGTAGACCTCTTAAATCCTTTTTGAAAAATTAGAATCGGATAATAAGGCTTCTTTCTAAAAAAAAAAAATTGAAATCCGTTTATCCGTTCCTAAGATATAGCTAGTCGAATTCAACTCAAGTTTAGCAATAAACAATAGCAGCTATTTAACCGATTTTTGAACGAATGCCCTCGTTTTGTCCAGTACTTTACTAATAAACATTAGGTATGCTGAAACATATGATTATTTAACAAAAAATGCGCGATTCAGTTGATCTTATCGTGAAAAAAATTGCTAGGAGGTGGTGGTAGGGGGTAGAGGTTATATATTATATCTATACTATCAAAATTGGTATCAATCGTTTGCAATTTAATTATTGTTTATGTTGAACAATTGTAAATTGTGATATTCTTATGTATAGCTGGTAAAATAATTATTTCCGTCAAATGTGCGATTTTTTTTTTGCATCACAATGATACACATTGCTCCGTATGCTCTGTCTATTCGCTATGCGCCTATGTTAGGTGGCGCCGTCGAGTGAGAGAAATTTTCCCTCGCTAAAATCGCCAGAATGCATAGAGCCTTATTCGCTACATGTGCACAATTTTGAAGCAGCGCCATCCTAGGAAAAAACGAGAACTATTGGTCTGGCACAGCAGAAGGCAATATTCGCGATATGTGCTTGATACCTGTAGGAACTAGGAACACAGCACCTCGATAGATACACGAAAGGTTCTGTGTTTATTATATCACGAATTAATACAATGTCTCAAGTGGTACAATCCTATGTGAATAACTAAAGACAAAATTTGTACTACAAGCACTATAAGCGCTTGAGTATTACTTCAACACAAGTCCGTGTACTGTGTGATACGAGATATGTTTTATTAGTTTGCAATGTAGTCAACACAGACCTCCTCTGACCAATCAGAGAGCTCCGTTAGCCCTATACCGGCGTGTTCACACAGTATGTACACACGTTCATACGATACGCTTAGAGGATCAGACCCCAGCTAAAAACTCTAAGAAATTCACAGTATCCAATGTATTTCACTGCGTTTTTTAATGAACATGCCTGAGTAAAATATGTACACACTACTCATAATTTTATTAAAAATTTAATCCTTAGAATTGTTGTCGATGTATAAACACATAACTTTCTGATGATAGTAATGCTTAGCAGTCTGCTGGCAGAAGACAAACCTATCGTTTAGTTTCACATATTAGCACAGGTATTGCTGCGATCGCTTTTTCAGCTTGTGCACGTAGCGAATAGAAAAACTTTTTAATAAGTTAAAAAAAAGTTTATTAAGAATGGATTGACCAAATGAATCAGTGATTTAAGTGTGTATTATGTTAATGTACAGTAATAAGTTTTGGTTGGTGTTGTCATATGTACTACAAGATTGGAAAAAATAAAAACATGGATTGCGACTGTGCTAACACAACATATATATGTGTATACACATGCTTGCACTTGTATGGAGCTTGAGAAAAACAAGTACTGCTTACAGTGCTTACATTTATCTATTTCTCACAACACAGTGTTCAATAAAAATTAATACTCATGACAGGTTAGGTTAACTTTTATACATTTATACTATCCCCCTTGTCACGTATCATTAACATTATAATATTTTTTTTAGTAGTTATTATTTTTAAAGTCATTATTTTTTGAGTCATCTTGTGGAGAAGTTGATTTAATATTATACAGGTAAAGAGTTTCAAAATTAAATTCTCAATCTTTACAGAACACTTTTATTATTTATTAAATAATAGTAATTTTGAAGTAACAGCTTTAGATACATTCGTTTAAATTTATACAATAAATCACAAACAAGCTTCAGACTCATTTCTGACTAGCTTTTACTAATAGCCTTTGGGGTTGGTTATAATCAAAGTACACTTATAAGTTAAAGTATGACTGTTCCTTATACTAGAAAAAAATCACTCATCTTGCCATGGACAGCTTATCCATTGTTTTAAATCCTCGATGATAGGGAGGGCTTTTTCTATTGGCTCTGAAATCTCGATTACCGAAGAGGCATCCACTTCTTCTATCGGAAACCAAGCCACTTCCTAGCTGTTTTTCGGCTTCTGTGGCATCTACGATACAAAGCAATTCATTGTTGCGTCGGGCACAAACTCGTTGAGGTCGTATAACGAGGGCTGGTAGAGAGAATTTTCCATGGAGAGCCTTATTATTAGCTATCAGTCTCGTTTTTGCAGCAAATATAAGGCCGCATACTTTGCAGGTTCGGCTTTCAAGGTGTCACTGGACGGAAGGACAGTACATGTCAAATGGCACCTGTACATGAATTTGATTTTCCGTGAGATGCGAAAAAAAAGTTATGACAATTTTTAAAAATATCAAGTTAAAAAACAAAGTATTGCGGCTGCTTTTTATATGCATTTTGAAGGAGGAATAACGCTGTATGTACCTTTTTAAAGCCTTCAGAATCAGGCTGAGTCTGAAACGCCAACCGTGCTATAAGCGGTAAGAAGGTTCCCTCGTCGCTATCTGAGTTTACAACTATTACGCCGGTCGAATTCTGATTCGTTCTGATGGGCGCTGGAACAAAATTTTCGGGGAGTAAGGACCGTATGTTGGACCTTGGAGGAGAGCAACAGTCTTGTGATGAGCATTTCGAGACTTGGCATGTGTACTGAGACTCTCGGACATGAATTGCGTACCAAGAAGAATCAACGTTGGCTGGATCTGGATATGTATCTGCTTCAACATAGCTCGAAACAACAGGATACCCATCTATGACGATTCCATTCCAAATCTCTGCAAGTGTCTCCCCTGCATGTCGAAAGTTGCGTATCTACAAGTCAGAATCGATAGTTTTTCCCGCGGCATCAAGATGACTTCCAAACTTATCGTGAGTTAGGATGACCCCAGCAAGTTCGCGGCTCAGAGGAGCTATTCACCTCTCCACCCTATTGTAGGCACTTCTTCCTGGGGCATTGGTCATCAAAAAAATTGTCATTAAGGTCATCAAAATTGTCAAAAATCAAGGTCACGTTTCTTAAAGGTTTCAATAGCGTGCCCAATCACTTTATTGTACCTCGGATTTTCATCTGGTCCACCGTCCGAAGTCTTCATTACAACTGGTTTTACAAGACCAGTAGATGTTTTCGCAAACTTACTAAATTCGTGAAGTTCAAGCACTTTGTCAAAATCTGCCGCGTGACTACTTGCTGTCGCAGATGTATGCTTTGCACTTCGCACAGCGACGTATGTGGGGCCAGAATATCGCACATCATCTGGACACCCAAATCCGCCTTTCCGAATTTCCATAGCAGCATATACAAATAGACATAACTTATGTTTCGAGGCTATAACATAATCGTGGTCTGGCAAACTGACCCTGTACTCTACGTGCATCAAAAGAGGAGCTTGTTTAGATGCAGTAGTCAGTCCTATTGGAACAAGAGCTTTCTTATCCTGAGACACGAAGAAAACAGCATCTATCCCTAAGAAAGATGCTACTCCTTCAATATACCAAACCGCTACCTGAGCAAAATAAGTGTCTTCATGTATTTTTCGAGCGTCAATTTGTGCTCGCACCAATTTTACCGGGACGGTTGACACGTACGTTTCGCTTACCTTCCGCTGTACGCGAGGACTTTGGCAAAAGTCGAAGATATAGTGCAGATTTACTTAGAGTAAAGCCCTCTTTTTGCAATTCCTCATGCAGCTGTCCTAACGTTTTCACCGATCGAATCTTGTCTTCATGTCTGCGGTCATCGGCGGCGCTTCCATACATAGCCAACTCGATGATGACACGGTGAAGATCAGGCTGATCTGCTTCCAGAGGTGGTTTCCCGACGGATTGGTGGTGAACTTCAAGTTTCTTGACGAATTCGCGATGTTTTTCGGTTATCTCTTGATGTGTATGCTTCCTGCTTTCTCGGGCTTTTTTTTGTCTCTCTGCTGCAAGTTTTTTTTGTTTCAAAGCTCGTTTCTCAATATCAATATTCTGCTGACACTCATGTATTTATTTTTTAAGATTTACTTCAGGTAGTAGACCAGAATTCTGAGCTCGCGTTAATGCATCTAATTTTTCCCTCAGTTCAACAATTTTCTTTCTGCTGGCATCTTGTGAGGGTATATCACGTTTTTTCTCTGTTGATGTTTTTGAAGTGACTGTAGCTGGCGGAAGTTCTTCAGGATGATCATCAGACTTAACGTTGCCATCTGATAAGTTGCTGCTAGCAACAGAAACCTCCTTCAGCTGATGTAAAGGTTCAGGTTCGGCACCAGCCTGAGATCCGCTGACTTTACTAGTACTAGACTCGTTTCTCTACAATATAAATAATTTATAGGTATTAAAAGACATGCATGTTCGGTTGCTGACGAAAGTGAATTTACGCATTTTTATAATAATATTTTAACCTGCTTAAAAAACATTAAAGCCGTCCTCTTCTTTTCTGCATCAGCCTTCTCATAATCTTTAATTTTAGAGGTTATAGCATTCGCGAATTCTTTTTCGAATTTTTCAAGTATTTATTTTTGTTTTCCATTCTTCATTATCTTTTTGTTGCATAACAAAAAAGGTGAGGTTAGGGTGTGCCTTTCTGAAGGCCGTAAAAAAGTTTTGATAAAGTTTGTTTTTAAAATCCATTTTTTCCAGAGATTAAACTGAAAAGATTCAGTCAATCCGCTACCACTAAGCTTTTTTGTGCAAGGAGCTATCAGTTTGATATGAGATTCTTACAACTTTAGTTGCCTGAGGAATAAAGCTACTAAAAACACGCAGTTCACACAAGA